ATGAGGTCTAAATGACTGAAGGAATGAATGATGGAATAGACGAAAAGCTCACAGTAGCTTGTATGGTAGGGTAGTGATTCAGAGGCTGGTCACTGAATTCTGACTGGCACGGCTAAAATCCCTGCTCCACGTATTAGTTGTGTCTTTGAGGGCATGTTACTTAATTTAAGCCTTTTTGGCCTCATTTTCCTCATATATAGAATAGGAATAAAAAGAACACTACTCTATAGAATTATAGGAGAACTAAATCAGTCATCTAAAGCCCTTAGCACATGCCTAACATATAGTAAGTTCCCAATAATTATTAACTGCTTCAAGTAGAGCCTAAGAGATTCTTCAGGATCACTCGCTTCCCCACCAGACCAGGAAGGGAGTGATCCTGAAGAATCTCTTAGGCTACTGAGACTTCCCTGTTGGGGAGCAAAGGTTGGAAAGGGACCCCATTAGAGAGACCGTCCTGGGGAAAGCTTTATCTAAGGGTTTCTTTGAACCACAAATATACCTGGTCCTCTCCTTCAAACACATATTAAACTTGTTATCTTACCAGATAGGCTCCAAGCAATTACAGACCTCCCCTCTGGAAAATAACTGTTTTTTGTTTAAATATTAGCACCCAGTTAAACATTATATTGACTTTTTTCTTTCTCTTTCCTAGTGCTTTTTAGATTGCAGTAAATAATTGCTTAAGGCTACACTTTAGGAGACATTTGCAAATCTTTCTTTTGCCTTGTGATAACAGGAGAAAACCATGTCACAAGTCATTCTAACAATTTGTATTTTAAGTTTTATGAGTTACCATTTAAAGAAGGGCAGTTACTCATTGGTAAGCCTTCTTAAGATGTTGGAGCTTTGATCTTAAATCCTAGGGAGGCTTTGCAGAAATTGTACTCAACATTGTTGACAGGTTTGTTGGTAGCTATTCTATGGCCATTAATTAAACACACACACTCATACACACACTTTATTTACTACCCGGGAATAAGTGAATTGAACTTGACTTTGATTTCTGGTAGGAAGCTATGAGAGGGTCCAGGGAAACATCAAAGGAACTGTCTTAATCTAATAGGACTGACTCTCAAAGGACCTAGCCTGAACATTGAAGAGTCCTTGATTCCAACACTGGTATAGTTTTTTTCTGTAGAGCACTAATTCTCCATAATGATAAGAAAGTTGCAGGGATGGCCCGGCATCTTGCCTTGTGCCTGTAGTCCCAGCACTTTGAGGGACCAAGACAGGAGGATCACTTGAGACCAGAAGTTCAAGACCAGCCTGGGCAGCAGAGTGAGTTCTCATCTCTACAAAAAATAAAACAATTAGCCAGGCATGGTAACATGCACCTGTTGTCCCAGCTAGTACCAGTGGTCCCAGCTACTCAGGAGGCTGAGGTGGGAGGCTTGCTTGAACCTAGAAGGACAAGGCTACAGCGAGCCATGACTGTGCCACTGCACTCCAGTCTAGGCAAGAGAGTGAGACCCTTTCTCAATGGGAAAAGAAAAAAAAAATAAGAAATGTGCAGGGGCAAATAATCATCTCCATCCGAGTCCATTAAGTTCCATAGGGTTACAGGCTCTTTCCTTTTATCTCACTTCCAAAGGACTCCTTTGGAACAGTGTGCATACTTTTGTTTTGCATTTTAATAGTTTATACCTTTAAGATCTCAACTTTAAATCTTAAAACTTTTTTTCTTTTTAAGTGTAGGTTTTTGGAATGATCACAGCTGTCTTAAATCTTCTATGCTCCCAGGCTGTTAGAAATGAGGACTTGACACATGCAGAAGCATAAATAAGGCCAGATGCTGCCTTTGCAGAGGCAAATCTGAACCTAGTGGTTGGGAGGTCCATGACTGCATCTGCTTCTGAAACCCCAGCAGAGCACTCACAACAAGCACCCACCGCATGCCTGTTGGGTGCCAGCTCTAAAGGGTACTGAGCAAAAGAGGCAAACATCCTGCTCTGCTGGAGCTTATGTTCTAATGGACAATTAACACAATAACAAAATTAACTATACAATATATCCGAAGGTGTCAAAAGCCATAGAGAAAAATAAAGGAGGGAAGGGGCTGATGTTACAGTTGGTTTCTATTTTAAATAGAGTGGTCTGGGAAGGCCTCACTGATAAAGTGATACCTGAGCAAAAGACCCAAGGAGCTGAGAGAGTGAGCCCATGCCAGAGTTATGGGAAGAGGCAGCAGCAGGCACAGATTCGGAGTCAGGAGGATGCCCAATGGGTGGGTGGAGCAGGGAGGAGGCTGGTGAGGCTGGAAAGGGAGTGAGGGCTGAGGAGTTGTAGGAGGCATGAGAGGAGGTCTCTGCAGATCATTTCAGGCCTTGTGAGACACGTAAGACCTTGGCCTTTTCTCAAAGTGAGATGGGAGTCATAGGAGTGTTTCTCTCTCTCTGGTTTTTTTTGTTTGTTTGTTTGTTTTTTGTTTTTTTTTTTTTTTTTAGAGACAAGGGTCTTGCTATGTGTTCCCCAGGCTAGACTTGAACTTCTGGGTTCAAGAGATTCTCTGGCCTCAGCCTCTTGAATAGCTGGGATTACAGATATGTGCCATCATGCTTGGCTTTTTAGGGGAGGGTTTTGAGTGGAGGAGTGGCATGATCTGATCTATACAGAGCAGGATTGCTGTGGCTGCTGGGCAGAAGCTGGGGACCAGTTAGGTGGCTGTTATGTTGATTTAGACTACACTTGATTTACACTATCCAAGATAGTGTAGTTGGTGCCAGGGTGGAAGCAACGGAAGTGATGAGAAGTGTTTGGATTCACAATATGTTAGGAGGGCAAAGCAAAAGGATTTGCTGATGGATTGGGTAGAGAAGAGTTGGTATGCCTAGAAGATTTGAACCTGAGCAACTGGACCATGTGCTCTGCCACACGTTCCTTTTTATCCACAGCCCTGACTGGTGTCCAGGTTATTATCAAGCAGTTACTCTGCGAACCTATAGACACTCTGGTAGCCAGGAGAAACCCCTCTGTGGTCTTCTGAGCCATGCAGATGGTACCGGTTTGGTTAACGAGACAGAACTTGGCTCACCAGTGTAAGTTATGTAGTCTTTCTTGACACCATCTCATTACACATTTGGCATCACATTCTGGGGAGGAACTGTGATAGGTGTTGGTGCCATCCAAACCTGCACCTCAGCTCTGAGTCCAAAAAATGCTGGAAAAGAGCAGAAGAGTAGGAGAAGCTAAAGCAAAGGGAAAGAGTAGAGAGATCCCGAAACTTTCAGTACAAACCACAAACCACTCAAAAGAAGAGTATCAGGAGCAGCAAAATGTGTATCCTTCCCTGGTGTTTTCCCTTTTTATTTCTACCTTTCACTTCCCCTTGAAAGATAAAAAGATGTGATATTTCCGCAATAACTGGAGAGGGAACTATTGGACTAACATGGAATGTAACAAAAACAAAGTCGAAGCCCCACATTTAGTCATCGAGAGATGGCAGAAGAGTTTATGGATCCCTATAGTCAGATACACCGAAGATACAGTGGCTCTCCAAGATCCCACTCCTGATTGCACCCACCGTGTCTCTCCTACTTAAATAAACCGCAAAGCATGCTGTGAGAGAGCACAAGGACACAGCTTACTATGATGTTGGCCAATGATAGAGCTGAAAAATCTCCCCCTGTTTGTTTATGAGGAATCTTGTTTCCCATCCTTGCATTGCTCACGTGGGGTGGAGTAAATCTTAATCTGAGTTCTTATCTCAGGAAGAGCAAAGGGTAGCCCTGGAAGCCTTATAAATAGCAGATGCAGGACAGAATGAAGAGGAAAAGGGAGGGTGGAGACCAGTGGAAAATATCTGTGGGAGGCCAAGAAATCCATAAGGCTGATGAACTGGAGAAAGGGGCAGGTGGATGGGTGAGCTGGTGCCTAAGGGCTCAAACTGGAACCTGCCGGGATGGGATGATAGGGAGACCAGATGCACTGGCATTGGGTCCAGCCAGATGGTGGGCTGGCATTTTTTAAAGGATTTGTAAGCCCTAGGAACAAGGAACCATGAGGGTACTGGGGCCTTGAATCCCATTAGCAGAAGACAAAAGCATGCTCTTTAAAAATGTAAACTCATCAATTATAGAATTTATCAAAACTTTGGGACAGACAACTCACTTGTGAAACTCCAGAGAATCTCTGGATTCTGTATTGATGGAAGGAGAAACTGAAGAAATAGTCTAGGCATTATAAGTTAATTTAAAACTCCTCCTTAAGAATTTAAAGTACATTTACTAAGTGTGCATTCCAAACCAAACAAAACATGATCTCTTTTTATGAAATAGGTTGGCTCCCATGTGGAGTTGAGAGAACAGCTAGCGGTGCAAGTAGGCACTGATGAATTATTGAGCAAATTTTTAGCTTGTAATGAGAAAACTTTTATAATTTCACCATCTATTGCTTTCCTAAAAATTGGACCCCTGCACCCCGCCTCCCCAGTTGCTGTGTGTAGAGCAACCTGGCCTCAGTAGAGACACAGCTGCTCTCCTGGTTGCTAAGAAATGAGTCTTTTTCTGCAGCCCTTGTCTCTATCCCAGCCTTAATTTTTGGGTCCAGAGTTATTTCCACAATAATTATGATGATGGCCAATGATAGAGCTGAAAAATCTCACCCTGTTTATTTATTAGACACAGAGCGGGGTTGGACTGGAGGGTTTGGTGTGCTGCAGAGTTCACGAGGATCTGCCTTCTTCGTATCATGTAATAGCCGATTCTCCTGCTGAAAGGAAAACTCTAGTGTAATCTTAAAAAGTCAAATAAATGTTGTGTTAATATTAAGAGAACGTTTTAAGTAGTGTGATTAGTTGTTAAATGACTTTTCTGTTTAGAATATGCAGATATATCCATTAAGTAACTACCAATAACAGCATCGTTTTCAATGCTATTTCATAAACACATCTTGCCTTAATTACTTCCGAAAAGTATAACTGTCACTTTGTAGTTGAAGTTGAATAGAGTGCTTTCCACCACTGACTGTTTTTGCTTGCTTGTTCATTATTATCTGTAAAGGTATGGAAACCTGACAAGCCCAAACTGTGAAGAAGATGGAAGCCAAAGTTCATCAGAGTCCAAAATGGTGATCAGGAAGTGAGTCTGCCTTTTCTTTGCATTTTAAACTGTCAGTCAAGACAATATCTTAAAGTAGTTTACTAGAGGTTTTGATTTCTTTGAATGTTGCCAAGATTTTTTTCCCATAATGCATCTAGAGGCTTATTTTTTGATTACCTAACGATACTCATTTATGTATCCAGCAAAAGTATCTTAAGTAACCACTGAGGGCCAGGCACTGCAGCCTGGGCGAAAGAGTGAGACCTTGCCTCAAAAATAAATAAATAATCCAGAGCTTCTCTGTCCCATGGGGTGTTTTAAGATGAAATAGATTTTTGAGAAGTAGCAGTTTAGAATATTGTACCCTGGATGTGAAGAGTCATGTTCATTGTTTTAAAGTCTCATTCGAATTCATTGTATACCAGGAACGCTAATGTGAATGAAACTCCAAGCTAAACTGTTTTAAAGGGTTTTAGAGTTTTAAACATATGAGGCCTTAACAAAGAGCTTCACACAGAACTCCCCTGAGGGGTCCATCCTCTGGGGACAATGGTCCTTTCCTAAAGTCTCACAATGACTTGGTGGAAAGTTCATGACCCTTTTCCTCAGACTGAGTTGCCTTTTAAAAAATTATGCCTGACGAAAATATGCCACTTTATCTTATAATGGGTTGCTCTGTCTTACAGATTCTGGAATGTTAAAATCCCTTCTTACTGGTGACCTCTTTCTTCCTTCCATTTCCCTTTCTTCTGTCGTTCTCACTGTTTTTTCCCACATCTCTTGTTGCTTTTCATCTCACTTCACTATTAGTTGTTGGCTCTCTTTTTCTGAAATGACCCTTCTCCTGATTATTTCTGTGCCTAGATAGGGTCACTGCCTTGTGTTTGGCTTTTTGAGAGGAAATCAGGGAAGCACCTTCTCCCATATGTTTGTAATGTATTGCAAATTTCCTGGTCATCCCAGACCTCTGGCATCTGACTTACAGCAATGATTGAGGGCTTCCTGATGATCAGTAGATGTGTAGGAGATATGGCAGCGGTTCTCAGCAGGGCGACTGCTATCTTCCAGAGCACATTTGCCAATGCTTGCACACGTTTTGGTTGTCTCAACTTGGTGGAGTGATGCTATTGGCAACTCATGGGTAGAGGCCAGGGGTGCTGCTGAACATCCTAGCATGTGCAGAGTAACTGTCCTCCACCCTGACAAGGGATGATCTGACCTTAAATGTCAATAGTGCCTAAGCAAGAAATGCTGCTATATAGTGTTGAGGCTGTAGTTCTCAAGCGAAACTGTCTTTATGAATACCTAACATATATAAAAATAGGAGCAGACCTATTTGGAAATTTCTTTATCTGTGTCCCTTCCTAAAATTAGCTGAATCGAATGTGGAAGTGATCCAGAGGCAGCCCCATGTTGAGGGAAAGGCGCTGGTTAGGGAGCCTGGAGAACGTGGATTCTGCTTCTTTTCTGTCACTCACTCTGTCACTTAACCCGTCATCTGACCTCGGCTTCGTCACTTCACCTCCCTTCCTTTCAGTTTCTTCACCTGGAAAATGAGTGCTTGGAATAAATGCTCACTGAGGTCCTTTCAAGTTCAGTGGTGTCTAAGATAAAATTTATTTAGCTTGTTCTTTCTCTCTAAAAAAATAAAATGAATAGTAGACACAGAAGTACAGTCTACACAGCACAGTGGACTTTTGAGAGGTGCCTTCGACCACTTTTCTTTGTTGGGAAGTGTGTTACCAGTTTTGATGAGACAGGAAGAAATACATACACAAACTTTGATTGTTTGTTGCTAGTCATGACATCACAGCTGCTCACTGGAGTCATGAATAAAGAGCTGAGCTAAAGCATTGTCTTGTGGGAGTAAGGCAAGAAATGGCAAAATGCCTATTGTTTTCCTTTGCTATGAATCTGTTCTCTTGTGATTTCAGGTGGAAAACTGACAGCAGGAATCCAATGACATTAAAGAAGTAAATACCCTGTTTAGGGCAGTTGCCTTCAGTTTTGCAGACCTGGGTAGAGGAGAGGGTGGGGACAGGGACTCACTATTGGGTTTAACTATGAACAGAAAAATGCCCAAATATTGTTTGTTTTTCCGTTTTTGCTGTAAGGCATAGAGCAACCCTTACATTTTATCCAGGCTCCCAAGTACCAAGTACAGTCTTTCCTGTATTTCCAAATATGGATTTAAACCTTTTGGAGGATAAAAGAACCTTAAAGAAGGAAAACGTGGAAATACAGATGAAGCATTCAAGATGAAAGATTGGTTTCTGATGTCTTGGACCCCAACCGACTAGTGTTCTTCGTGCATTTAAAAAAGTGTCAGATTGTGCAGGGACTCCCACATGCGAAGTACTTGTCATTCCAGTCCAGAGTTCAGGCTCTGTGCAATGTCAGGACCCTCTAAAGTTATCTGGCTAAAACAAGAATGTCTTCCGTCGCAGAGGATTCAAATTCCAAGGCTTCTGGATGTTGGTGTCTTTGCCACATGGTGATTTCTGATGTTAGGGCTAGACTGATGTATATAAGCTGTGCCATATTTATTTCTAGGATCCCTAAACTGGCCACTAATTAGCAATTAGGAAACTCACTTTCCATGACAGAAGAAAACATTTCTGCCTGTATTCATTCTACCTGTGACATTTCCTGCTGACAGTTTTACACGATAAAATGCTGTGTTTTTGAATAATAAAATCTGAACCAGATGGAAAAAACACATTGTCAGTAGGGCAGATTTATTACAATCATTGAATTCAAAAGTGAAGAGAATGTAAAGAAGGGATATTAACCACATAGAGCCCTTACAACATGAATCTTTATTTTCTGAATTGTGTATATGAGGTGACCATATCTCCTTCGCTATATATATATATATATAACTTTATTTAAAGAGATTTAAAACTCCTCAGGAAATGATGCTTTCTTTCTTTCCTTTAATGAGTATTGTAAGGTTGAAATTGTTTCTGTTTTCTTTTCTTTAATTGAATCTCATCTGTTTCCTTGTGGAATGCCAAGTTTTGTTTTCTCAAACTCTCTGCTATGGTAGCACTTCAAATTGTTGAAACCGTTCTGCTTTCACTTCCACATGTTCAGAAGATACGAATATTGTTTTTGTAATCTTTTCCCAGAAGTTGTAAACAGTGACACCAGATTTCAGTCACTGTAAAGGATCACGTAAAGCGTAGTAATCCAAGACACTGGACACACTTTAAAGAAAAAGGAGGGGAGTTAAAGCAACTTGGCAGTGTTACATTACTGCCTCAGAAACTTCAGAGCGGAAACTTAAAACATCTTCCCAGAGTCTGCAATCAATATTCATTCCTGCAAAGTCAGATGCCCTAAGAAGGCAATTGAAATTAATTGGAGTGATTGTAACAAAAATGGGAAAAAGGAGGAGGGGTGAAGAGCAGCGAAAACCAGATTTAAAGCTCAAATTAGAAGAATCAAAGATTATAATGCGAGAGGATTGTTTTTAAAGTGAAACAAAAGAAATGAAGAAATGATATGCCATATCAAAGAGTCTGGTATTGTCTTTACAATACCCATACAGGACAAAGAAAAATGAAAACCATAGTTGTATAAGTCATTAACAATCTAAGTCAAATCTGCATTTTGGGGACATGGGTTAGAAAACCCTGAGCAGAAACTGATGTTCTAATCATTGAGGAAGAGTAAAAAAACAACATTGATAATTAGTGGTTCAAAAAGAAGACAAGTCAGTCATGGGAGTGTCTCCTAGGGTTTTCTGCATTGGAGAATGTCTCTGTTAGAAAGGTAAACAGACATCACAATCAGACCGTGTTGCATGATTCACCACGCAGCATTGTAGTCAGTGAAAATAATGACACCGCCCTTGTCACCACCATTGGTTACAATTTGTGGTATGCATACTTTGTGCAAGGCATTCTGCTGGGTACTCTATATTTGTGTCTTCTTCAGCCATCACAAATATGCTGAGATAGTTTCCTCACTTTATAGTATATAAAGTGAAGCTTCAGATAAGTTAGGTGTTTTGACTAAGATCAGGCAGCTGGTTAAGCAACAGGTCTGATATTTGAGCTCTGGTCCAAATGACTCCAAGACCTGGGCTTCCCAGCCGGGTCTTTTGCTCTCAGGCCTGCCATGTACAGAAGAGTGTTGGGACCCCGGATACTCAAGATTTCCCTCCCCATTTGCCTATATCATAATAATAAAACCACCGAAGCGCATGAAGACCTAGATTAAAGTATCACTATTGTGACTAATGTTTTAGATTGTTATTATTCTGAGATCTCTTAATTCGTCATTATTTCCATTGCTGTCTGATGTTTTGCCTGGCTGTTTCTTTATTATTGAACGAATACCCTGAGCAAGGTTCGCACACAGCTGTTAGAAGTGTCGACGCTAGACCTTTTTCCTGGGGAAGGAGATGGGTTGAAGGATGTGAGGAAACAAGACCAAATTAAGCCCATCAAAGGAGAACCTGCTTCCTGTTCCTCGTGCTTCGCAGCATCTGTCACTACCAACGGAAACTCAGTTCCAGCGGTGAAAACTATAGAGGGCCTCAGCCATTTTTTTTCAATAGAGTTCTGTTTATAACATGAAAACTCCCTTCTTGTACTGTGGGGAATTGGAGAATGAGTTATTGAAGTCCCTGAAATATAATTTTGGTGACTGGTGATGTCCTTTTCTAATAATAGCTAGAATTTATTGACTACTTCGTAGGAATAGTCCCTGTGTTAAGTACTGTACATACTTGTTAAATCCTCATAATGACTGTGTTTTATTATTCATACTTTACAGAGGAGGAACCTGGGGCGTAGGTTAAGGACCATGTCCAAGGCTACATCATGAATAAGTGAAAGAGCTGGGATTTAACCCAGGCCTCAACCTCTGTGATGCATGACCTTTACTATTTTTCCTCTGATAAAAACAAAAATATTTCTCTTAAGTACTTAACTTGGGAATGAAAGACAGGTGTGTAAATAACCTTGACTTTGGGTAACTGGTTTCAGGCTCATTCATCCTACTCCTGGCCCTCTCCTACTCACATTTCC